AAAGCGCGGCGTTTCAAGCTGGACTTGCTTGCTTGTCCCCGAGTTGATTTGGTTCCCTTCGATTTGAGCGAGTGGAAAGTGTCAGGCGGCGAGCCCCCCCCCCGCCAGTAGCCCCCTTTTCCTCATCAGAGCGGCCTTCCGAGAGGCGGCATCCGCGTCGAGTGGAAACGTCGGGGCGGGATGGCATCATGTTGTGTCGCGCCAGCTTCCTTTTGAAAAGTGCGTTGATGCGCTCATGTTGTTTAGCGATGCCACCATCTGCTTCGCATTTGGCCGCGACTGTTTGCTTTGGAACGGACGCCGCACGCAAACTGCTGGGGATTACGCTCCTCTACGTATGCAAGAGCGTGCCTTTATTTGTTTCCATTTATTTGTTGATTGGTGGCATCCAAGATAGAACTGCCGGCGGTTTGATGTTTGTCCACCAAGCCATCCTATAGTCTCGGACTCGCTTTCATTCTTCCTCTTTCAGTGGCGCACCCTGAACATTTGGAAAAAAAATAAAAATCATCCCCCAAAACCGGTTGGACTGACTGACAGGAAAATTTGGTGGACCTGTCAATGAGGAGAGGACCCACGAAAAAGTCCCCAAAGGACAATCGAACAGGAAGTCTGCCGTTCGGGTTTGAGGCTGCCCTTTCGGGTCAATTCCTTTTCGTAGTTCCCCTGGAAAGTTGGATAAATTCAGCCCCTGACACGGCTTTCACTGATTGACACCAAATTGGGTGCCTGCATCTATCATAACAGGATGCACCAAAGGAAAAAAAAAAAAGTCTCAAGCAGCCACGCCCCACATTGAACGGGAAAGAGACCATGATGGTTTGAAGCACCCAATTTGGACAAATTCCTCCAGTCGCGCTCCCCGCAAAATTCAGCCTCCGACCCCATTTTCACAGATGGACGCGACATGAGGTCGATGTGTCCTTCATGACGAGATCCGCGTGCCCTCCAACTGAACAGGAAGTGGCTCATTTTGCTCTGCAGCTGCCATTTTGGGCCCCATTTCTTTGCCGCCCCCCCCCCCCCCCCCAAAATCTCTGCCCCCCCCCCCCCCCCCGCAAAGTTTGAAAAACGTAGCCCCGTACCCCAGTTTCACTGATGCACACCAAATTTGCTCGATGGGTCTATCATAACAGGATGCCCAAAAAAAAAAAGTGCCCCAAATTGAACAGGAAGTCGGCCATGTTGGTTCGAAGCAGCCATTTTGAAAAGCCACCCCCCCCCGCACTAAGAGGAGAAACCACATCGAGCAGGCCCGCCATTCAGTCGAAACCTGTACTGACGAAGAGCAACACCATCTGTCCGTCATCTTCCGCGAACTGGGATGCCGCCTGCGAGCCAGCGAGCAGATGGAGAGTCCAGACTTTTGCTCGCGGTCGGGCCTTGGCCGCGCTCCGCCAGCTGGAAGCTTCTGGAAGGACAGATGAGACGTAAGAGGCGCGACCCCCGTCATTGGCTGTCGCCATTCACGTCGTTCCGGGGGAGGGGCGTGGCCACGCGCTAACCGTCGGGTGCGCGATTGGCGTCCCGACAAGAATGTCGGCGTGCGCGCGCGTGTTTGTGCGCACGGGCCGGCGAGAGGCGAGGCGCAATCTGCATGCACTTAGTCCTGGCAAGGCGGAGCGGGCGCTCGTCTTAAGCCCCCTTTTGGACGGCGCGGCGGCGGAAAGCCGATCTGTAAATAACAGACATGTGTTCCTTCCAGGCGGCGGCGGCGGCGGTCAGAACGTCTCATCCCGTGTTGTGTGACAATCACGCCGTAATAGCTGCAAAATGGCCGATGGGGAGCCGGGCTGCGGCGCAGGGGTTGACGGGGCGACTCTTGTGGTTCTGATTATTGGAGGAGGGGGCCTGCCCAGCGTCACGTCAAATTAGCGCACTTTGACAGCTGCGCCGCCGCGGAGGGGGCGGCGGCGGGCCTTCAGCGCACCTGAAAGAAAGGCTTCGGATGAGCTGAAATGACGTCACGAGGGCACGTCACCACAAATAAATTGGGGGTGGGGGGGAAGCTTTTTCTGCTTTGATGAAACAGGAGAGCAAATAACCAATTGATTTTGTTTTGAATAGAATCCATTGCTTGGATTTTTTCGCCGTGTATGGCAGCAAAGCTGAATTGATTAAGAGATTAAAAAAAAAAAAGTGGCAGCTCAGGTCTCACGAGTGTCATTTTGCCGATCTTTAAAAGTTCAAATGAAAACTCGAGACTCGATTTGGAAAAACACACCAAGAACATGATGGATGGAAATCATGAAAACGTTTTTCATCTATTTGAAACGTTTATCGCGCACTCCTCGCGGCGGACGCGTACGTAACATCCCGTGATTCATTTCGAGTTCGGTTTAGCCAGTGGGAATCGAAACGCTTCATGCTTGTTTCGTTGGTCCAAGTTGGATGTTGTCGGCTTCAACGCGGTTCCAGTCGGACGTCCGCGTCAAGTGTTGCACTTCTGAAACGTGCTAGCCGCGTCAGTCTTAGGTTAGCGTCGCCATGAGCACGGCTGCTCCGTCTTTTCCTCGTCGTCACGTCACGAGAACGACACTTGTCCGAACAGAGGTGGTTCTTCTCGAGGCGGGGTCGGCGTTTGGCCCCAAATTGGCCGGATTGGCCGTCGCCGATTGGCGGGTAGACAAAGCGACGCCCGGCTGAGTGCTCGACTCCCGTTGCCGTGGTCCCGTCTCCAAGTGGGGGGGCTGGCCGTTAGCAAGCTGACCCCCCCCAGCCCTCACGTCCCGCCACTCCCGCGACTGGCCCCGAGGGAGGAGGCCCACGTCATCCGATTCCGATTTCATTTGTACTTTGGGATTAGTGGACCCCCACCCACCTCGGACAAGCCCACCTCCATTTCTATCTCCCAGCTCTTCTTCTCAGGCTTCAGGTTGCCTCGCACTTCTTCTTTTGTTTCACGTCGGACTCTCCTCTGAACCTGAGCCGCGTGCTCGGTTAGCACAATGCTAGCTCCACCCGCAAAAGCGAACGACCTCACCCCTAAAGTGCTTTCGCGTCATGGCAACCACGTTTCCAATCGGTGGCGTCGAGCCACACTTAAACTGGCCTAACGCTGTTTGCGCAAAGCGCTAATTGCGGATTTGCCAAGAAGACGCGCACCGCGGAATTGTTCTTTTGTCTTCCGTGATCGCAACCAATGTAGCCAGTGTGACACATTTGATCACGGGCGAAGTCGTAAAAGTTTCGCGGAATAAATTTAAAACGACGACCATGTAGCTCGGCGCAAGATGAGCTAACGCTGTTCGAAATGTATCAATGAAACCGATGTGCAGGCGAGGTCACATTTAATAATTGGCTTCATTTAAAAATGTTGAGTGCAACAGTGATGGAAGTCCCAAACGACGTTACGTGTTGCTAGCATAACAGCTAGCTCACGCTAAAGCAACTCTTCCGCTAAGGCCAAGCAAACAAGTTATCGTATCGGCCGCTGCGGGGATTTTTTTTTCCCCTCCTTGAACAGGAAAGGCAGCGCTCGACCCGACGGGCTCGTCCCAGTTGAGCGAGGACAGCAGCTGACACGGCACCGACACGAAGCAGACCCCCTCGGAGGCCAAATTGGTGGCAGCCGGGTCAAGTTGCAGAAAAATGCCAATTACTCCCAATTGATCGGCGGGGCTTGATCACCAATTGGCCGCCGGGTCACCTTACGCCTTCGGACTCGGGCCCGCCACGTAGCGGCCGAAGCGGCAAGAAAAGAAGCCGCCCGCACGCCATTTCCTGCGCGCGTCAGGCCGCTCGGTGATGTCAGGTGGCGCGGGGGCGACCGTGTAAACAATGGCCTTTCAGTTGATCTAATTAGGCGGGGGAGGAAGTGTTTAGGGGCTTAATTGAGATTGCAGTGGGAAATTGCTCCGAAATGGGCCCGGCCGGCCGGCGGGCGCGTTCCTCGCGGCGGGCAGCGACGAGGGATTTCGCTGGGGACTTTGTAGATAATTACAAGGAGCGTAATGGCCGCATGCGTGCTGATTGGAGAGCGCCACATGCCAAACGCCAAATAGGAAGCGTGTGTGCCTGTGCTTGCACGTGCCGCCGCCGCCGCCGCCTGATGCGCCTGCGTCGGGCTCCCAAAAGAGATTTTTTTGCACAGCGAGGAAGCGACCTGGTTGCAGGAAGCGCTGTCCTCATTTGGCTTTGCTTTACGTTTTTCTCCACAATTTACAAATGTGTGTCAAGTCAACATGTGAAAAGTTGAATTCAAGGCCGCTTTTAATGGTACTTTTGGCTTCAGCCTTTAATTTGAAATATTTACTTTTTTTTTTGGGCACTCACAAATTCACCTATTGGCAGCCGGACTCGGTCAGACTTTTGTACGTGTCACTACGTGGAAAGAGTAGTTTTTTTTTTTTTTTGTTTTTCCATGGAATTTGCAGTTCTTTATTTGGTTATTTCATGACAAATACAGTAACTTTCTCAATGGGGTTTCTTCGGCTGAGGCATGACATCTACTGTGCATTTATATTTTGAGACTTTTACATTTCAAGGCTTGCAAAGTTCCAAGTTATATTGAAATTAAAAAATATATATATTTATATGGAATTCACATCTCCATAAAAGTACAATACAATGAGAAGAATTGCCGCACCTTCAAGAATGGATCAAGCAAAAGGTTCAAAGCTGTCGGTGAAATTGTCAAGACTCATTTCTAGTCTGAATTTCCAGCAGTAGATCCTGAAAATGTTTGAATATTTCTGGCCTCAGCTCCCCCGCCCCCTTTTTTTTAATTTTTTTTTTTTTTTTTTTTAAACTTTTGTTTTGTGACTCGTTTCAGGCATTCGGCTTCATGTCGCGAGTGGCGCTGCAGGCTGAGAAGATGAACCATCACCCCGAGTGGTTCAACACTTACAACAAGGTGACTGGTGACGATCGCACCCCCGTCGCCATGGCGATATGACCTGACCACAGACATTAATCGTACTCAAATTTAAAAAAAAATTAATTTCTTTTTTGAACTTTTGAACGTTTTCCATTTAAATGGTGTGTGTGTGTGTGTGTGTGTGTGTATGTGTGTGTGTGTGTCTCTCTCAGGTGCACGTGACGTTGACCACGCACGACTGCGGCGGGCTGTCCAAGCGAGACATCAAGATGGCCAAGTTTATTGACAAGGTCGCTCTTTCTATGTGAATTGTCCCAAAAAAAAAAAGAATGCATTTCTATCTCTTTAGCGTGATGATTGTTACGGCATCCTTGATTCGTTTATCTTGGCCTCCATCGACCCGTTAGCGGCGTGAGCGTTCCTCTGAGCTGGTTGCTCGTCATGCGCAACTCTTTGCACTTTGCGCAATCTATTTATGAGCTATTTCTGTCAAAGACTCTTGCGGATGCATTTTTTTTTTAAATCTCTTCTTTACTCTGTGGGGCTACGGGTCGTCGAACCAGCGCCTTTTTTGAGTCCACTTTTAGTTTGGGACCAATTCATTTGACTCCAATTGCATGTTAGGTCGTTTCTACCTGAACGCCGGTGGGTTTTTCTTTTCTTGATGGACTCGGTGGGGCGACCAGCGTTGACTAGTTGTGGATGCGCCGATTGCACATCAACCGCTTTCCGCAGCCACACACACACACACACACACACACTCTTCCACGGGGCGGCTGCCGGCCGACGAGTCAACTCGGCTTAATCCCAAAATGAGCGTGCAGCCGTGGGGCAGCTGCGTGTGCATGACATTTCTTCCCCCCCTCCAGCGCACGCTTGCAACCTCATACTGGTTGATTGGACTTAAGCTGGACTTTGGTTGTCGGGGATGCGGCAGCTTGCAACTGCCCGGATTCCACTTGACGACAATATTTCATCGAAAATCTCCAGTCCCAGAAAGCAGAAGTAGCATTTTGCAGGCTGTCAAGCGCAAAGCAACAGAGTCGTCATGAGTATTTCACTTTCTTGCAGTTGTATTGAATTGTCCTTGTAGGTATGCGTTTGTTTTAATTTAAATTAATCGGGTTTTTTTTCTTTTATCATTTGAATCACTATTAAATTTTTACTTTTTAAATGTTCTATTTCTTTTAATTTTCATGTATTTCCATTCATTTTATTTAGTAATATTTTTTGTTTTTTATATTTAAATAAAATGTACATAATAAAAAATGATTTTATATCTAGACAAATAGCATGTAATAGTATATGTTGGGGTTTTTTTTTTGGGGGGTGGGGGCTGGAACAGATTAGTGGTATTTCCATTCCTTATAATGGCGGAAGCAGATTTGATTTATGAGTAAACTGAGTTATGAGTAAAACTCTTAAATGAAGGTGCCATGGGACACTTGGGAATAAAGATGAAAGAAAATTTTCATTTTGTTCCCTTACCAAGAGCAAAGTTGACGTGCGGGGACTCCCCACTCTGAGCTTTTCGGCATTGGGGTCATGTGACCCTCTTGAGGTCATGTGGCCCCTCCCCTTTCTCAATGGTTTCTCCAAGAAGCCTCCGGAAGCCTTCCAGCACCTTTTGCCAGTGAACACAAGCTAAGGTAAGACGGCTCGCTCACCCTTTTCCAAGTCGCTTGTGTCACAAAATTGTCTGCTTTCAAAATTTCGACCGGTGGCTGTTTTGTGAAAAAGAGCGAAAATTGAGGTCTGGATGCATTGCATCCTAACTCCTCGCGATTAACATGATGCTAACACCTGTTTGTTTGTTTGTTTGTTTGTTTGTTTGACTGATCTGCGCTCACAGCGGCCATTTTGTTTGCCACTCGGCTCCAGTGAAAAACCTTTCTGTCATTTTTTTGTAAAAAAAGGATGACAATATAAGTATATTAAACGTACGCAATCTCGGGTCATTGCTTGTTTTGATTATAAAGGGGTGACATCCCTTGAGGTGAAGTGGAGGCCAGTTTGAAAGCAGCAGCATTTGCAGTGGCATTTGGTGAAACAAAATGGCCGACAAATGCTATCAAGAACTTCAGATAAAACTTCCCAAAAACAGTGAGGGGACTTTACAATTTCAAAAAAAGGTCAAGGCTACTCTATAAGCGTCCTCATTTTTACACTAAAACAAGAGTTGCGCACTTGAAGTTGCCCGTCATTAAATTGACGTTTGGGCTCCGTACCAAAATATCCTCTCAAACGTGAGCTACAGCGTGACTTGGGAATACCGGAAAGAGTACGGACGCGGCATCGTGGGTGTTCTTGCTGTTCGAATAGTTGAAAAGAAGGCGACGAACAGAAATTGAGTAAGCCACCTCGAAATTTGATGTGACGTAACGGAGGTCATTAGCTTCTGGTGCCAAGTAGCCTTGCGCACAACTTTCAGATAAATGTTGACGGCTACAATTGGGAGGGAAGTCCGAAGACTTCCGGTATACAGAAAGCACAAAAAGATGATTCCGCGGGCAAACTTATTTGGAGTTAAAACTTTTAAATTGGCAGATTGTTGAATGGGCTTTGGTCGGAAAGCACCTTACGGGTAAAAAAAAAAAACGAATTAAAAAGAAGGTGGAGTTTTGGACTGAGTTCTTTTGAGGCCCCGGGCCAGCTAAGGACGCAGGCAGGCCACCCTCCCGGTTTTGGGGCTTTTGAGAATCCTCATCCTCATCCTCAACCCCCCCCCCCCCCCCCCCCCCCCCCCCCCGTTTGATTAGAGGCTCACTTGTGCGTTAAATGACACGTTGGGATTCGGCGGAACCAGCCAGGACCGCGCGTGGGTGTGCGCGTGCAGCTGGACTTGAGACTGTGAACTCAGCAGGCCAGAAGGCGAGTTGCTCTCGTCTTTGGACGTTCGGCGCTGCGGGCCCTCGCGTGTGCGTTTGGAGCGGCGAGCGAACTTTGGCTTTGGCCACCTCGGAAAATGTCACCGCTTGTGCGGAAAAAGAATGCTTTTGTTTGTCTTCTATTCTTGCGGTTGACTCCTCTGAGATGGATTTGTCCCAAGTGGGCGAGTTGTGGTGTTGTCGGTGACGCAGCGCGAGCGTGTGCGCGTGCGTTTTCTCCTGGTTTGTGCCTTCACCGAGCTCCCTTTTCTTCTTCTTTGCTGGTTCTTTTGTTTTGCCAAGCGACCCCTTCGGCTTGTCTCTGCCGGTGGGTGATTCGTGCTCCGGTTCCCATGATGCCCCCCCCCCCCACACACACACACACACACACACACTCCCGGTGCACCAGCACCGCGCCCAGGTAAAGAATGTGATGCTTTTTTTCACTGTTGGGACTTGTTGGGATGCACGCAGCACCCCCCCACCCTTTTTTTTTTGCAAGCAATCCCGTTTGGCATTCAAAAAATTGATACTACATATTTGCTTACAATCTACAGTATACGTCAAGCGTGTAATAGCATGAATTCTGCAAGCACGGAATGTAATGGTCTGCTTTTATAGTGAGAAGAAACCGTTGATTTTTTTTTTTGCTTATACAGTATCATGAAACGTTGAGGTTCTCAGAGAATTTTTTTTTAAGTAATTAAAATTATCATCAGTCACACGAAATGAATTATTGTATTATTTTTAAGTACACACGGTTGCCTACCCACGTTGAGGTTAATACTGTATTATTAAAAAACACTCGTAACGCTCAAGCAATTCAAATGTTGATATGAGAAGTAAAATTCAAAATTTTTTTTTTAATTCCACTACCAAAATTACGCTTGTAACACGGCCACCTAATTGTTGTTTTGTGTTCAACTCATTTTCGTAGGGGAAAAATACACCGATAAAAGTAAAAGTCACTTTTAGGAAAAACAGACAAAAAATTCCCCACGAAATGAAAATGAAACGGAATTTTATCCAGGTTGTCAAAATTGTTACAGCATTCATTTCACCAAACAAAAATAAATTTCGTGGGCGACGTGACGTAACTACATCGAACGTGGCGCATATCCTCAAGTATCGACTTTTTATTTTCATCCTAAACCCTCTGATGAGCACCAAATGATTTTTATTCTTCTCATTGGTGCCTCGTACTAACCCGCGCCTCATTATCAGCCAAAACACA